CCACCAGGGGCGCCGCCGCCGCCGGCGCTCGCAGGCCGCGGGTGAAGAAGGTTCGTCCCCGCTCGACGCGGAGCGAGAAGGTGACCCAGGCCGAGGAAGCGCCCCGGGCCAAGGAGGAGACCCGGGCGGAAGAGGTGGCACCGACTGGAGAGGTGACCCAAGCCCAGGAAATGGCGGCAGCCGAGCTCTGCGTGACCATCACCCACAGTAAGTGACTGGCGGCTGGATGGGCTCAGTGCAAGACTCGGAAGGCCCCACGGGGTCTGTGAATTTGGCCATGTGTCTCCGGAAGTGTGTGTCCTTAGGTTTGTCTGGCGTCCGGAAGTGTGGGTTCTTAGCTGTGTCCAAGGGCTGGCTTTTTCTCTAACTATTTGTTGAATCGTGGATGTTGGAACGTGTTCGCACATCTTGGGCTTAGTTGTTTGCTTGCGCAGTTATTGTGGGGTTTTTTTTAAGACTTGTGTTGAGCCACATTATGTCTGACTGTTGTGCTTCTGGACACCTATGTGTGTGATGACTATGAACTTCATGCGTGGTGAGCTGTTCATTATTTATTTATTGAGTGCCTTCTCTGTGTTGGATGCTGCGTGCCCGCTGTTTAAGTGGGCCATGGGTCCAAGCATTAACTTTGGGCACTCGTTGAAGTTGACTAAACAATGTCTGTACACTGGAGAGCTGAGTAGATGAGGTTTTTTTCAGAACCAGCTAGGGGAGATCCTAGTCTTCAAACCTGGAAACCAGGATTCTAGATCCTGAAATTTTGAGTGACACTGAAATAGATGTCTCCTTTTAAGACATCTCTTTTTTTCTCTGTAGCATTGGTAACCCCTGCCCCTTGTCACTAATCCCATTTTATGGAGCTGTTGGGAGAGTTCAAGTCTTGGCATAAGATGAATGTGAGGAATCAGATGGATCTGAGGCCAGTTCAAGGCACTGGACACAGGCTACCTGCTGTCTCTCCACTTACCTAGAGAAGAATTGGCATCCATATTTTGTTTTGTTTTAGGTACCAGGAATTGATCTTGGGGCACTTAATCACTGAGCCACATCCCCAGCCCTATTTTGTATTTTATTTAGAGACAGGATCTCACTGAGTTGCTTAGTGCTTCGCTTTTGCTGAGGCTGGCTTTGAACTCAAGATCCTGCTTGCCCCACCAGGCCCGGCTTGTTTTTGTTTTATTTTATTTTTTTTAATCTCTTCTGTTTGACTATATTCATTCATTCGTCTTTACTGAGCACCAATTATGGTGTACCTAAGTGTGTCCATTGAGAGAGACTTGGAGAAAAACAGTCCCTAGCCCATTATAGCAAGAGAGACAAGACAGTACAATTCAGAGTTCAGGGCAGTCAGACGATGGGAGGCAGATAGCTTCTGATGAGAAGTGTGAACTTCGGAATCAGATAGATCTGAGGCCAAATTCTGACACCCCTTCCCCTATTTGGTCTCCATAAGAAAGTTTCCAGGGTGTGTGTGTGTGTGTGTGTGTGTGTGTGTGTGTGTGTTGAGGCTATTGATTGAACCCAGGGCCTCAGGGCCTTGCACATGCTAGACAAGAGCTCTCCTACTAGCTAAATTCCTTCATAGAGAAGTCTCTTTTTTGGTGCTGGGGATTGAACTGAGGGGTGCTTTACTGCTTAATGACATCCCCAGTCTCTTTTAATTTTTTATTTTCAGACAAAGTCTCACTAAATTGCTGAGACTGGCCTTGAATTTATGATCCTCCTGCCTCAGTCTCTCAAGTCTCTAGGATCACAGGCATGTTCCACCATGCCAACTCATAGGATTCTTAATTAATTAGGACTGAGGTCAGTTTGTTTATCTATGAAATAGGGAATGATAGTACCTACTTCATGGGATCGTTCTGAGGGTTAAAGAAGATAATAAATGAAATAAGTCTAGTACAGTTCTACTGTGTGTGTGTGTGTGTGTGTGTGTGTGTGTGTGTGTATTTAGTTGTAGATGGACACATACTTTTATTTTTATGTGGTGCCTGAGGCCCCAGTGCCTCACATGTGCTCTACTGCTGAGCCACAACCCCAGCCTCTACTTTTTTTTTTTTTTTTTTTAGTATTTATCTTTTTAGTTATAGTTGGACACAATACCTGTATTCCATTCATTTATTTTTATGTGGTGCTAAGGATCGAACCCAGGGCCCCATGCATACTAGGCAAGTGCTCTATCTCTGAGCCACAATCCCAGCCCATCTTCTTCTATTAAGTGCTTAAAATGTTAGGTCTCAGGCTAGGGTCATGCCTCCATTGGTAGAGTGCTTGCCTAGCATGTGTGAGGCACTGGTTTGATTCTCAGCACCCATATATAAGTAAATAAATAAAGGTCAATCAATAACTAAAAATTTTATAAAAAAAATGTTAGGTCTCATTACAATTATTCATTCTTATGGTGGAGGAAACAAAAATCCTTGAGCAGGTCACTGGAGGAGAGCTGGGCAGATGTCAGCAGGCACTTTGAAGTGGATAGAATTTGAGAATAGCCCTTGAATGCCGGGTAAAAATAAATGTAATAAAGTCTCATCCTTTATTGTTTTCTGTGAAACAATTATTTTCATCAAATGCTTTTTTTTTTCTCTCTAGACAATGAGAAGTATGACCTTCATGTTACCCCACAGCAAGGCAGCAATGAACCAATTGTCCAAGACCTGGCCCATGTTGTGGAAGAAGCCACAGGGGTTCCACTGGCTTTTCAGAAACTCATATTTAAGGGTAGGTGTTTCTCTTCTTGCTTTGAGCCTTTATGGCTAAAGGACAGACTTAAAACAGGTTAACCTTACCTAACAGTAACTATCAGTTTTCAAACTGGGGCAATTTTTGTTTATTTGTTCGTTTACTCATTCCTTTAAAAATATTGAGGACCTGCTATATATACTGGAACTTTTCAAACATCTGAATAGGTATCAGGTTTGAAGTAACATTACAGAAATCTTACCCTTTTTTTTGGCATTAGAGTTCGAACCCTAGGGCACTTAACCACTGAGCCATATCCCCAGACTTTTTTATATTTTATTTAGAGACAAGGACTCACTGAATTGCTTAGGGCTTCGCTAAGTTACCGAGGCTGGCTTTGAACTCACAATCTTCCTGTCTTAGCCTCTGGAGCCACTGGGATTACAGGCATGCACCACTACACCTGGCAAAAATCTTACCAACTTTGATAAAGCATGAGCAGTCTTTTCTGGCTAGGCTAGATCCTTTTTCTAAGTGTGTTCACCTATTATCCCCTACCACTTCAATAATTTGTATTGAAATTACTATTAAATGATTTTTTTTCTTAATTTTTTAAAATCTGATTTCTTTTGTTAAGATTACAAACTCCATGAGGTCAGAGATACTACTACATTTTAGTGCTTGGCTTTGTTCAGACTATGTAGGTTTTGAACTTGGATGTGACAGGTCATTGGATGGTGCTGATTTCCACTAGGACTCACCCCATCCCCACTCCTGTCCCTACCTTCCTGCTCCATAAGAACCCATTACTGTGGTATTTAATAGGGATAGATAGATCTCATTGGGTGTCCATATGAATTTAATAATAGGAATAATTTATTTATTTGCTTATTTATTTTGCAGTACCAGGGATTTAATGCAGGAGTATTCTACCAGTTTGCCACAAACCCAGCCCTTTTTATTTTTTTTTAAATTTGAGATAGGGTCTCCCTTAGTAGATGAGGCTGGTCCCAAACTTTCAATCCTGCCTTAGCCTCCTAAGTAGCTGGGATTAAGGCATGTGCCACCAATGTCCAATTTCTATGTATATTTCATAGTGCAACTCCTTGTCTTTTTAAAAGCATTTTATCTCTGAATTATAAAGACAACAGAAATTTGTATTTTAAAACAGAAGAAAGCACAAAAAAGAAAATGTTCCTCTGGACAAGGGCTTTTTTCTTCTTCTTTTTCATGCTGGGGATCAGATTCAGCACTCTACCACTGACTTACATCTCTAGCCTCCTACATTTTATAATTTTTTTTCTTATAACATTAGGTCATCAACATTCATTGTGGCAGTAAGTTTCCTGAAAAATGGACTTTAATGACTACTACTTTTCTTCTTCACTTCTTTCTTTTTCTCTTTCTTTCTTTCTTTTTTTTTTTTTTGTGTGTGTGTGATAAGTACTGAAGAACCCAGCCAGGGGCACTGAGTATAATCCCCAGTTGTTTTTATTTTATTTTGATATAGGGTCTTGCTGAGTTGCTGAAGCTGGCCTCACACTTAGTGATCCTCTTGCTTCAGTCTCCAGAGTTGCTAGGATTACAGGCATGTGCCACCACACACAGCTCAAAGTCTTCTATTGTACAGATCTATAGTTAATTATTTTCCTATTCCTGAATATTTGGCCCTTTGTAGTTTCTGACTATTGTAAGATTGTTCTGAATATTATTGTTTACGAGTTATCATGTAGTATTATGTGTGTTCAATTATATCTAGAAGTGAAATTACTGGATTGACACTTTCTTCTCTCTTATTAGTGAACACACTTGTATATTTTCTATACCTTTGCTGAAATCTATTTCAGTGTTGTACATTTGTTACAACCTGGCATACCTTTCTTCTCTTTTCAGGAAAATCTTTGAAGGAAATGGAGACACCATTGTCAGCACTTGGAATACAAAATGGCTGCCGGGTCATGTTAATTGGAGAAAAGGTAAATTGTTTTTTCCACCAGAATTCCTCAGAATCAAAAGTCTTTATACGTGTCTGTCTGGATGGCCAAATTTGGGATCCAGATTCTGCATTGGTGAAACGCCTCTTTAAACAAATTCTTTGATGGGATTACCAGTTTCACACAGTTGTTTGTATCTTCCTGCTTGTTGATGAGGGTTTTTGCTTTAGGAATTAGGAACTGTTATGTTGCCTCAAATAACATGACCTTTGTTTTGGTGGTGGAATCTTACTTTGATTAAAATGGTGCCTAGACAGGCCTTATTAGAATTGGAATTTGCAAGAGAGCTTTATGTTGAGTCTGCTTTATTAAAGTACTGCACACCAGTTTTAAGAGCCTATTTCTCTTTAACCATCCATTTTTCTAAAAAATCTCCCACAAGAGGAAAACCTTCTTTGACCAAAAGAAAGTTTCAGATTAAAGAACTAAAGGGGAAAAGAGTCAGTTTGTGACAGGTGAAGGCAGTGGTCCCTGAGGTGATGAGAGAACACTGTGGCCATCCCTGCATTGTGACACAGTGGAATTGTTGGGTATATGAAGTTTCCCTACTTTGAGTGGCATGGCTAAGTAGAGGAGGGCCAGAGATTAACAAAGTGGAGTCAAAAATCTAATCCAGACTTGGAACTATCAATAGACACAGACTCAGGATTTGGCCACAAAGAGAAATGGATAATTTAAGATAGTATAACAAAGCAGGAAGCTGCTTGTCCTGGGTACCAAGTGTTTAGGTGAAAGAATGGAAAAGACTCTAAATTTTTTGCTGAAGCGTCAAGGAGAATGGCGATGAGCACCAGGCAAAATCCATGGGTTCAGTTTGAAGAAGTGATGGGACCTCTAGGTACTGTCACAGAGTGTGTAAAGCCAAAGCTGAATTCCATTCTGCTCCATCTTATCGGAGCTGTGTGACCTTAGGTTACTTTACTAAGTTAGCCTCGGTTTCATCATCTATAAAACAGTACCTCCCTTCTAAGGTTGTGGTAAGGCTTAAAAAACAATACAAGTAACATGCTTAGGATAGTGCCTACTATGTAGGGAGTGTTCAATATAAGTATTCAGCATTGTCATCATCTTATTGAATAGGAAAACTCAACTCAAGGGTGACATTTAGGAATTCCATTTAAAAGGAGTTGTCAAATTCCACCTGTCTTGCCATTTGTACTCCTTAGAGGTATTTGCATTAATTTGTTTGCCTTCCAGTCTGTTGATCAGCCCAAGGCTGAGGCTGAATCTGGTGTTTGGATTGGCTCCATTCTCTTAGCTCTAGGTGCCAGGACACTCACCAAAATGTTGACTTAACATCTTCCTTTTCTTTGAATGGGAGTCTTTGTAGATAGAAAACCTTGACATATAACACTTTTATTTGCTTTTAAAGAAGCAGCAGAGTTACGGCCTTTCAAGGTGAGCATTTTAGCCCAGTTAAGGCCAGATTTTCTTACGATAGAGGCTACTAATCCTGGTGATTATTATTGTTTTTGTTTTGTTTTGTTTTTGTATTTTGCAGTGCCAGGGATCAAACCTAGTGCTGCCTATGCTATGCAAGTAGCACTAAGCTATACTCCAGCCCTGATCTTGGTGATTAGTGACTTCGTTTTATTCATCATTTTAGAATAGTCCAGAGGAAGAGGCTGAATTAAAGAAGTTGAAAGATTTGGAGAAGTCAGTGGAGAAGATAGCTGACCACCTGGAAGATCTGAATAAAGAACTTACTGGAATCCAGCAGGTAACTTCCCTCGTAAACTTTTCCACCTTTTGTAAGAACTTTGTGGATATCATGTGTGGTAACAAGGGTAGGCTCTGTATTCAGACACCCTGTGATCAGATTCTTGCCCTGCCCCGCCCTGCCATTCCCTGCCTCTCCTCTTCTCTCTCCTCTTCCCCTCTTCTCCCTATCCAACAAACATTCTACTTCACAACATTTCATTTCTCTTACTTCAGACAAGTTTTTCTCAACTTCCTCATCTCTAAAAAGGAATAATGGTGGTATTTTCCTCTTAGGGTTATTGTATTAAATACTATAGGCTGAGACTGACACATACTGAATGCTTTCTAAGTATTATTTTCATTGTTATGTCAAACCCCAGTTAACATCCATTTGTGCCTACAAGAGAGGACATGTGTGCTTACAATCACAGTGACTTGGGAGGCTAAGGCAGGAGGATTGCAAGTTCAAGACTGGCTTCAGCAACTTAATAAGACCATGTCTCAAATTTTTTTTAAAAAAAAAGTTTTTTAAAAAGGGACTAGGGATATAGCTAAGTGGTAAAGTGCCTCTGGGTTCAATCCCCAGTAACAAGAGAAAGAGGGCTGGGGATGTGGCTCAAGCGGTAGTGCGCTCGCCTGGCATGCGTGCGGCCCGGGTTCGATCCTCAGCACCACGTACAAACAAAGATGTTGTGTCCACCAAATACTAAAAAATAAATATTAAAATTCTCTGTCTCTCCCCCTCTCTCCCTCTCTGTCTCTCTCTTTTTTTTTTAAAGAGAGAGTGAGAGAGAGAGAGGGGGACAGAGAGAGAGAGAGAGAGAATTTTAATATTTATTTTTTAGTATTTGGTGGACACAACATCTTTGTACGTGGTGCTGAGGATCGAACCCGGGCCGCACGCACGCCAGGCGAGTGCGCTACCGCTTGAGCCACATCCCGAAGCCCCTCTCTCTCTCTTTAAAAAAAAAACAAAAACAAGAGAAAGAAAGGGAGAGCATTTGCCACAGGAGGATCATATTATTGTCTGAAATTGCTCCTCACTGTCCAGGGTGTTTCTATGTATGTAGCAAGGTAAGGAATATTTGGTTAAGTCACAGAAGCTCCAAATTCAGCTTGATCTTAGTGGAGTAGTGATGGGGTGGGGCATCCTATTCAAAACCTCATGTTAGAAATGGGATACTGACCCCAATAAAGATTAGGAGTAACCCAAGTCCACGTACTTCTTTTTCCCCTCATTTTATAACATAATTGGTGTGTGTTTGTGTATTAATTATATAAGTGATATGATACCTGTATAATAAAAGTTTTACATACACACATAATTCCTACACACATAGGTAGTAATATAGGAAATAAAAATTAGCTGTAAGGCACAAACTAGTAAATGGCAGTCAGGATTTGAGCCCAGGCCTGTCAGATCCTAAACCTGTGCTCTTAGAATCTGCCTCTTGTGTGCAAGTATGTACCTGTGATTTAGAGATAACCAATCAAAGCCTGAAATGTGTTTTCTTTAAAATTTTGATATAATATCATATATACTTTGTAAAAAAATTCTCTTATTAAAGAAACTGAACATTTTCTTACATCATTAAAAATGGTCATACTGGGGCTGGGGTTTTTGTTCAGTGACAGAGCACTTACTTGCCAGCATGTGTGAGAACCTGTGTTTGATCCCCAGCAGTAGGAAAAGGGTCTAAAAATGGTAACGTTTTTTCAAAGATTACATATCTCATCATGTTTGAATGTATCATAGTTTACCTAACCTAGTCTCTTTGTTCACCACCTAACATTATTTTTAACATTATATATAATGCTTCTTTGAATGTCCTTGGACATGAATCTTTGTTTTTGGTTATTTCTAGGTTTTGTTTGATGCATTATTTGAGTTGGAATTGCTGGTTAATATTTTAAGTTCTTGCTCATGTTGTCAAATAGGCATCTAGCTCTTGGCTTTGGTAAACATTCTCAGAGACTTCTGCTTTTTAGCTCATATGACTGACTAATTTGGTCATGAGGCCAGGCAATATGAATAAACAGCAAGACAATCTAATGAAAATAATGGCTACTGCCATTTGTTAGCGTAAGTCTTTCCCATGAGTTATGTTAAGCAACTACATATACATTCCCCCTTTTCCTCATAGTAACCCTCTGGAATATGGGTACCATAATCTGTTTTTAAAATGAGGACACTAAGGAGTTAAGTAACTTGCCAAGATCATGAGAATCCTGGGCAGTCAGGATCTGAGCCCAGGTCTATCAGACCCTAAAGCTGATACATTCTCTTTCTCTCTTTGCTGGGGATTGAACCCAGGACCTGGTATTTGCTAAGCAAGCTCTACACCACTGAGTACATCCCATCACCCAAACATATGCCCTTAAAGTCTGCCTCTTTATATGAAGGTATATGCTTGCAACTGGGGACTTCACTAGAGCCAGGCCTAATGGCATTTGAAGCCCCAGTGACCCATGTGAGATAGAGCAGCCTGTAGCCTGATAAAACTCTTGGATAGGCCAAGGCCAGCCTTTCTGTTTTCTTCCAGGAGATGAAGTTGTTGTGGGCCTGGCTGGTGACAGTGATCACAGGGCATGGTCACTTCATTGGTATTGTGGCACAGTTTTTCATCAGCCTTAAGGAACCCTTGCAATAATACATTATTCCTCCACAGGGTTTTCTGGCTAAGGATTTGCAAGCTGAAGCTCTCGGCAAACTTGATAGGCGAGTAAAAGCCACAATTGAGCAGTTTATGAAGATCTTAGAGGAGATTGACACAATGGTATGTAAATACTAAGCTCAAAATAACTTGTTTTCTTTGACAATATATCAGTTTCACTTTTTTAATAATGAACTCCTAATGTGTGAGCAAATTCATCACTTGAGGATTATTGAGCATCTGCTGCTGTGAGCCAGACACCATGCTAGTTCCTGGGTGAATACACAGACCCATATGACAGTTGCTGATTTCTAAATACTCAGCTCACCAACATAGGTCTTTGTTTTTTTGTATTTGTTTTTATTTTAGATGTTGACGGACCTTTATTTTATTCATTTATTTATATGTGATGCTGAGAATCGAATCCAGTGCCTAACACATGCTAGGCAAGTGCTCTTCCACTGAGCCACAACCCCAGCCCCTATATAAAGTATCTCAATTTTTTTTTGGTGGTGCTGGCGATTGAACCCAGGAGTTTGTGCATGTGAGGCAAGCACTCTACCAACTGAGCTATATCCCCAGCCCAGGGCTTTTGTCATATACATATGTAAATAAAATTAGCATCCATAACTCATGAAACTGGGACCCAAGTAGTCTGTGATCTCATTGTCAAAGAAACAGGGCTTTGTATCTCTAGCTTGATACTTCATTCTTTTTTTTTTTTTTTTTTTTAAGTTGTAGATGGACACAATACCTTTGTTTATTTTTATGTGGTGCTGGGATCGAACCCAGTGCCTCATGTACGCTAGGCAAGCACTCTATCACTGAGCCACAATCCCAGCCCCATGATGCTTTATTCTTGGGTGTGAACTGCTCTGGGCTTGGGAAGCTTATGCTGTAAAAGAAAATATTATCAGAAGGTACTTTTCCTGGCATACTGAGATCATGGTCCGACAAGGACATAGTATCTGTATACATAGGAAACAGTGAAAGAACAAAGTCTATGTTACAGATCAGTTTTTATGGTTCAGACATTGAGACCAAAGATGCTTTTAGGAATGAGAGCCGTGGAAAGGACTTTGTAAAGTACAGACCTGGAGAAATGATCCCTTAAAATTCACATCTCATTTGTATTAGTGACCTATGATCTGTTTGGTGTGTTGTTTTCTTTTTTATGTATCTCATGTAATTGTTACTGAAGATTATGTGTCAACTTTTCTTCCATAGATCCTACCAGAAAATTTCAAAGACAGTAGGCTAAAAAGGAAGGGTTTGGTGAAAAAAGTTCAGGTGAGTTGTGTGATAGTACATGACAAACTGTTATGTGTTGGGGTTTGTTTATCCGCTTGAAATTTTCCAGTAGTGCAGAAATGTAGTGTTTGGCATGAGTTTTTATTTTTTGTTGTTGTTGTTGTCGTTGTTTTGTTTTTTCAGCATGAAGCCAGAGCATCAGAGAAGAGCCCCCTTTGTGTCTCTTTAGTTTTATTTGAATTTAAACTATTTAGGGAGAAAGTTCACAGAAGAGCAGATAGGCTGACCCCTTACACAATCCCAGGAGGCACCATTTGTGTGTACAGTACCTCCTTCAGTTGTGTTGATGCAATGTCTGTGGCCCCAAGGAAAGACTCTCTGTCCATTACTGCCTCTGGGGGAGTTGTTGAGCTAGAGCGTGGTCAGAAACCCTGACCCTATATTTTCCTCTCCCTCCCTCCTTTACAACTTGGAGCCCAGGATGGTACCCATCTCCATCCTTGCACAGTCTGTTTAGAGTGTCACTCACAGGTTCCCCAGAGTGGCTGAGTAAAGAGCTTTGTGTGGGCGGTAGTTGGCTAGCTCTGGAAGAGCCCTCACTGCCATGTATCTATCTTTTAGGCATTCCTAGCTGAGTGTGACACAGTGGAGCAGAACATCTGCCAGGAGACTGAGCGGCTGCAGTCTACAAACTTGGCCCTTGTTGAGTGAGGTGCAGTGGAGAACGGTGCTGACTGAAGAACAGCTCTGTCCTCTCTGGAACAGAAATTGCCTGTTTCTCCATAGCTGTTAAAGGCAACTGGCCAATTATCAATTTTCCTACTCCTACACCACTTCTCAATGAAAAAGTACTATCTTTGCAACCTTAAGTAGAGCTCCTGTCTGTTTTCTTATTCTATTTCTATGTGGCTATACAATCCAGCAGGTGCCTTTTCCCAGCTCTTTTGACCAACTTTCCTCAAGCTGAAGAGTATTTTGGTTTGGTTTGGTTTGGTTTGATGAGCCTTAAGAAGGTAAAGCCTTTTGTAGCTATAGTCAGAATTTATTTTTAAAAAGTTGAGAGTGGCTCTGCGTTTTCACTGTTTTGAGATTACAAAAGGAACAAGGTAAGGACTTTGGTCTTTATCCTAAGAGATGTGGGCCTTGCCTTTTAAAACTGGTCAACAGGGGCTGGGGCTGGGGCTGGGACTCGGTGATGGAATACTTGCCTAGCACATGCAAGGCGCTGGATTCAATCCTCAGCACCACATAAAAATAAATACATAAAATAAAGAAACAAAACAAAATGGTGATTCCTCATAAAATTAAAAAAAAATAAAAATAAAACTGGTCAACAGCCAGGCTTGCTGGTGCACACCTGTAATCCCAGTGGCTCAGGAGGCTGAGGCAGGAGGATCATGTGTTCAAAGCCACCTTTAGCAATTTAGTGAGGCTTTAAGCAACTTGGTGAGACCCTGTCTAAAAATAAAATATAAAAAAGGCCGAGGATGTAGGTCGGTGTTAAGTGCCCCTGAATTCAAACCCCTGTATCCACAGGGAGAAAAAACATTATGAGCTGCTATCATCTCATTCTTTATCATAGTGCTCAGGAGATAGGCTCCCTATAGGCCGCCCAAGGCCCAATTCATTTGACGGAGAGGGATTCACTGAAGTCCCAGCAGTTTAGGACTGGGTGGGTAAGACCTCAGACCAGGTGGTGGTAGAGATAGTCAAGTGAACAAGGCTCAGGGGCAGCCCAGCTTACCATAGTCCCAACTTTAACCTATAACAATATAGGAGCAAGGAATTGTCAAATTAATTTCTATCTGCTTAAGTTTCTATTATTTTTGGTTTTCTGTCTCTGTCAAACTGAATCTTACATCATTTGTTTGCAGATGGGAAACAAGTTTATCAATAGTAGTAGAAGGGCCTATAGAAGATTCTTCTCCCAGATCCTGCCACTTGGAGTCTATCAGCAACAATTTCTGCCTTTCCTGCTCTGCTTTCTTCTCAATGACATATGGTTTCTTGGAGCATTTCCTGCTCTTTCTAGCCACCTAGAACAGAAATCTGAATCCATGTGAAACAACTGCTCCTGCCTGGTCAGGCCTTTCTCCACACTCCTTTCCCCTGACACCATTATCAAGAGGCAAAAAGGCCAAAAGGGAGGGGGAAGTATTTGGCATGTACCATAAGTTGGGGTCTCTGGTGGGATTTCTAGTACTCTGTGTCTCTGTGGTCCATGATGTGGATATACATGTGCTGTGTGTGCCTGGAGTTGTGTCTAATGTCATCTAGTCAGCAGATGTTGACCTAAAGAGCAGAAAAGGATCTGGAAGTCATCCTGTTTTGCCAAGTGTTAACTGGACCCTGGGATATCCAAGAGGTTTTCAGGTGACAGTCTAGGTGGCCAGGGTTTAGGGAAGCATTCAGAGGATTTGGAACAGAAGACCTAGTTCACTGTTCTGTGTAAACTTCCTGAATATGAGCTGTGTTTGTATCAAATTTGTATATGTGTCTGCATGCCTCAGAGTGCTGAACAACCCAAGAGAAAGTCACGGAGGGTGTGGTTCCATGAAGGGAGTGAATAAAACTAAACCACACATCTCAATAGTGGCAAAGGATATTGATCTCAGCCAAGTTCCAGGCACTGTCCTGGGGTCAGAGGCTACCTCTCAAGTGGGCAGAAGACAACTGAAACCTCAAAAGAGACATGAGATAGGGTTGAACACCAGAGGGATGGAAAGGAGTTGGACATCGGATTTATAACAGAAAGAATAGTGCAAGATTCACCCTCCCAGCCCTCACCATAATCACCTCCCCCAGAGTCCCCAAAGACACTGGTTCACTTCCCTGGGCTGGGCTGGAGCTTTTATTTTATGTCACATCTCTTCCCTGCCCATCACTGTTCTCCAGCTTGAAGCTTCCTGGCTTGAGGCGCTCCTTCAGGGTCAGCATTTGCCATCCTTTATGATCTGGATATCCTTTTTGGTTTCTCTGGGATTACAGGAGACAAGAATGAGGATACCTCTGGGAACTATAACATACCCTTCAAGGACCAGGCCCTATCTGTGCAGATACCCTGCTGAACCCACTCCCATATCCTACAGTGTAGGAATATAGGGCAGATCCCAGGGATCTGTGAGTATTTTTATAACCTTTCCTTCTTATATCTTGCCCCTGGGAGATTTCAGCTTCCTGGGATTTCCACCACCTGTGCATGCTGATGACTGCCAAGTCTATCTTCTACCCAGACCTCTGTCCTTCCTGACTATGCAGTTGTCCATTGCACATCTCTGGTATATACCAGAGGTTCAATTGTTCACAAACATTGTATCCTACAAATACTACCTGCACCCTCATAGTTCACATCTTGGCAATTAACACCACCAGCCACCCAAGCCCACGGGTTAGAAGAGCAGCGTGTTGTTCTTGCCTTCTGTTTCCCCTCACCTTTCATGTCCATTTACACACCAAGCCTGCAATTCTGCCATCAATATATCTTTTTGGGGGGTGTATGGGGATTGAACTCAGGGGCACTCGACCACTGAGCCACACCCCCATCCCTATTTTGTATTTAGAGACAAGGTCTCACTGAGTTGCTTAGCATCTTGCCATTGCTGAGGCTGGCTTTGAACTCACAATCCTCCTGCCTCAGCCTCCTGAGCCCCTGGGATTACAGGCGTGTGCTGCTGTTGTGAGTCTAATTTTGATCTTTTTCTAAACTGGACAGTGTTCTGCTGCTTCTTAAAGTTCCTCCAATACAAATTTTCACTTCTGTCTAGAGCTTTGTGGTTTCCAGCCACAAAGAAACTTTCTTTTCTTTCATGAACTCATTTAGCTCTCAAGCTGACTCAGGATTTTATTGGTGAAGAAATGAGACCAAGTAGGTGATCGGTTTTACCAAAGTCATGTTCTAGCCTCTTTCTCACCTCTCTGAATTAATTTTTTGCCCCTCCCCCATTCTCCCTTCACACTCCAATTTGTCCACTTTCTTCAAATACACTTTTTCCCTTCCAGGCCTTCCCCAACTCCCTCTCTTCTATCTGAAATTATCTTCCCTACCTTTTCCTTTTTAGCTTATTTCCACTTATCCCTCAGGGCTGAGCTCAGGTATTACCTCCTCCAGGCAGTCTTCCCTGCCTGTGCCCATTCCTTGTTACCATGGTACCCTGTCTATATGAGCCTTGGGCATTCTGTGGTGCAGTTAGCTGACCATCAACTTGGCTTCCCCCTTAGATTGACTGGATGCTCTAGGAGGCCAGCAGTGCTATCTAACTTACTGTGCTCTGTTCTGTCCTGTGCCTACCACATAGTAAGTATTCTTTATAATTATTGTATTCAATATAATTATTGACTATAGAATGAAAGAACATTCTATAGAATGAGGTGACCTAGCAGTCAAGGGCAGAATAAGAAAAAGAACCCAGGGTTTCTGGCCCCTCTCCTCCACCCCCACCAGCTTCTGGATTTCTGCTTGGAATCATGCCCCCTCTTTCAATTATATTTTGGCTTATTATGTTAAGAGTAAATGTCACTATTCCTCAGGCCAAGCATGTGTGAAGGAAGAAGGAGGTCAATTCTTTTCTCTTTTCAGATTTGTGTGCAGCCAAGATGGGGCCTACCCAAGCAAGCTGAGTTGGGAGGTCTTACATTCGGGTCAAGCAGAGATGACATTCACTGTTGTATGTGACCCCATCAGTGCCACAGACGAGGTTTGGTGTCTGGGAACAATTTGGAGGCTCTGTCATGTGCTCACAGATGGGCTGTGGAGGAGACAGAGGAGACTCAGAATCAGAGACAATAGGGAGGGATATAGGAGCTCTGCTTGGAGCCTGAGAGGCCCCAGGATGGAGCCAAATTCAAGACAGACTGTGTGTAGGTCTAGTGAACATAAAACCAGCCCCTTAGGATCCTGTGGTATATTTGTGTGTGTATACATGACCAGGTACCTGTGGTTGGATGCATACTGAGTATGTTGCTGTGTCTACTGAGGTGTGGGTATCCCAAGTATACTGTGTATTTGTGTGGAGTGAATTTGTGCCCTCAAGTTCTTGGGGACTGGTTAAATTACTCTTCAGAGGATCCAACTAGAACCTCTCTGTTGTCTGATTGAGGACTCCAGGAGACAGAACCCATCATCCTAGGGGGCCCTCTTCCCAGGAGCCCCTGAGCTCACTATAGCCTATCAAGTCCTTGGAAGGAAGGTACACAGTGTGGGAAGATTGGAGAAATGAGGCAGGGCTTGGAGCTTAATTGAGGCTCGATTTGAAAGAGATTCAGACTATATCTGACAGAACCGGGTCAAGATTGGGCCCTAGCACAGGGAGAAGGGAGAATGAGGCAGTGTGGTGCAGCAGTGAAAGCTCGGGCTAAAGCCCTGTATTCTGCCAGACTAGCTGTGTAAACTTGGATGAGCTATTTCCATTGTTGGAGTATTAGTTTCCTCATGTGTAAAAATCAGGAATGTTCCTTGCATAGGACTAATTGAAATTATGTTAAATATTTGGCTTTTTATCTGGCACCAAGTATGTGGAGCTGGGTTCATTCTGATGCACTGACAGGAAGATGCTAAGACTGTTGGATGGGAAGGTGGCTTTGAACTTACTCATTCATCTATTTGAAAGGATTAATTGATGTTCCCAAGGATGCTGTCACCACTGCCTTAGGATCACTGGGGATGTCAGACCCAGAAGCAAGGTGGAATAGGCTTCAGGAGCAACTTGATGTTTGTCTACTCAGAGTGAAGGGATGAATGATGACACCCAGTGGGGAATGACTGGCACTCCATGAGGCCATTCAGTGTGCTAGGGTCACCTCTTTGGCCTGAATCATATGGTCTGTCTGTATTACACAAAGCAGAGAAGATGTTCTGTGCTGCTAAACCTTGGTGGGAGAATCTCACTGAGGGAAGGGGCCTTGGAGACCAGGTTGAGACAGATCCCAAGGGCTTTGATGAAGGGGATAGACTTGCTTAGCCTAGAGGGAATAATGTGGGGATCATGCAGGCTCAGGAGTCCACCCTGACCTCCTTGGGAATCATTGAAGGTATCTAAGCAAGAGTGGAGAATAATTCTGGTGTTCCAGCATGGATGAAAGGACTTCTCTCTGCAGAGGGAAGGCCACAATATCAAGCATCTGCCTTACCATTCTTGAGAAAATGCGCTTTCTTGCTGACACTGGAACCTCTGAAAAACAAATCAGTAAGAATAAGGTAACGTTGGTCCTAGGTCCCAGAACCTGGGATCTGAGGACTGTTTCTCCTTCTCTGGGAGTCCTGACCCCAACACTACCAATCTGGAATTTCTCAAACTAACCCAGAGGATAGGGTTTCCAGAAAGCTGATGTGATCTTGTGTTGTTACATACATAGTGACAGAAAGTCTTGAATCAGGAAGGTAGTCACCAACATGTTCCTCATTTAGAGTCCACTGAAATTATGGTGTCCCATGTAATAATATCAACAACTCAGTAGTTACTCTGTGCCAGGCATTGAGAATACATGATTTTAACCACTGTTCAGACCTCTTTTGCTGCTCTGAAGAAAGGAGGGAAGAAAGGAGGCAGTGGTGGATGCTGTGGTCTGCTTCCCTGAGCCCATCCATAGGACTGAGGCATCTGACCTTGGGCTCACTATCTAATATGACCTTGCATGTCTCTAAGTCCAGCTTTTCTTCTGCTCACTGTTCCTGTAACAGGCTCTGTTTTGGTTCACGCAAAGCCCCTCTCCCTGAAATGTTGCCTACCTCCTTTCTCCTATTGAATCATACCATCCTTTCAAGGCTCAGAAGATTTCCCTGTTGTCCCCCATTGTTTCCTGAGCAGACCTGGACTTGGGCTTTGCCACAAAATCACATGCTACCCCACTCACTGGGTCACCCTGTGAACCTTGGGTTCTTTGACTCTGTGGCACCCTGGTCAATTCCCACACCTTCAGTATTCAGAAATTTGACCACTAAAGTGTGCCAGGGGAAGGGAGAGTCCAGAGTTTCTTCCTGGGAAATGTGGGGAAATTTTGCATTCACACCCCAGCTTCATTTGACCTTGATCCAAAGTGCCCCCTTCTCACTCAGTCCATGCAGGATCTGAAATGTGTACAAGGATCCTCTTCAAACACTTTACTGAAACCTTCAGAAAACTGGTGCCAGGCTAGGAGAAAGCAGTCTGGACCCATTTCTCATTGCCACAGTGTGTCCCCATTTGGAGAAGTGGATGAGGAAGTGGCCATGAGTCAATGGCCCTGAAGACCTGCCAGGGCCTGCTTTAAAACATTATGACTTCTGTCCAGTTGGATCCCAACTGGTCTCTCCACCCACCCCCATTTACTTTATTCTCAGTATAACAACTAGAGCAATTCTTTAAAAATACAACTCTGCCTCAAAACCCTTCAGTGCCTCCCAGTTCACTTAGAGGAGAAGCCAAGTTTTCACATTGGCCCAGGCGGCCTTACCCAGTTTAGTTCCTAGTTTGCTTCTTGTCTCTCCTGTTGCTGTGTACCCTGCACTTCACTGCCCTCCAGCCACACTGGCATCCTCACAGTACCTCAAACTCTCCAGGCATGCTTCTACCTCAGGGCCTTTGCATTGGCTATTCCCTCTGCTTGGAACTCCCCAAATAGCCACATGGCTCATTCATCTCCTTTTTTTCTCAGAGAGATCTCCCCTGACTTAAAATTGCAGTCACCTCCTAATCCCTATTACCCAGCTTATATTTTTTCTTTTGGCTTTACCACATTTTAGCCTACTGTTTAACATATATTTACCTATGTTTATTGTCTGTTTTCCTTCTCTACCCATTGGACTTAAGGTCCATCAGGAGTGCTTTGTCTGTTTTTATTAACTGATGTGTTAAAGGGGTCACAGTGCCTTAGCTGTGAAAGTGCTGATGTATTCCAGCCCCAAGGAAGCCCCACTCCAGATATATGTGTCTAGCCCCACATAAGGATTCTCAGGGAAGGGCTCCCAAATGCTCACATGGCTGTTCATAGACTCAAAGCACAGCATGTCATGGCAGAACAGGAGTCAGAATGTCTCTCAGCATCCACCAGCCCTCAGTGAGCATAGTTGCCTATTGGCCCTGAGGACTGACACCCACCTACTCCTACTGCCTCCTCAACCTCTAGTCCAGTAATTGCCCAGTGCAACTATGAACTGGACAACCTCCTACTGTATAGCTGGAGAAATTGAGGCCCCAAATGGAAGGGGACTTTGGCAATTCTAGGCCAAATTTAGAATCTGAACTCGTTTCTTTTCTCCTACTCAGGGGTTTGCCCACCACAGTAGAGGGTGTATATGTAGAAGGAAGGCATATGCAGAGAGCTGAATCCTCACGGTGTGTTCCAGGCCTTTCCTCTACCCACATTCCCAAGCTCTCTGCCAGTACCACCTTGCCCAAAGTCCAGGTTCTACCCACTCACCCGTGTCCAGAGCGAGGAGGGCAACCAAGGCCAGGGTGACCACCCATAGACGGAAGGCCATGCTGATCCTGAGCTGGTGTGGCCCAAGCTAACTGGGGCCTGGGTGGCAAGGAAGGATGGAAACGTGTTTATAGTGCTGATCCCCACCCTTATCTGGGACCAGTTGGAGACAAGAGCGTCACCTCAAGTTAATCCCTGCATCCTGGAACCAGGAAAGGGCTGGTTCAAGGTAAATATTCTGAGTTTCTGGTGACATGGAGCTGTGGCTATGAGAATGGCAGATTTCTGGAGGGAGCAAATGTTTGGATAACTTGCAAAGTAGATTGGAGCAAGGACAGGGTAGTTGAATTAAAAAGAAAAGGGAAGAGAAAGAACAGAAAAAACAGCAAGTAGGAGGAGGCAGAGAAAGGGGGCTGGAGTCATGGATACCTTTGTCAGTACTTCCCTGTGACTTAGGAAAGCCATTTTTCTTAACTGGGCCTCAGTTTTTCTGTGCACAAAACAAGAGATGATAATGCTGACTCAGCCTCTCTCCCAGAAGAGCTGTGAAACTGGATTGGTGAGAGCAGATGGGAAACATTTGTTAAGTATGCAGTGAGAGAAATATAAACAAAACTGATTCTTTTTACTTATTTTTTGGTGCCATGAAGTGGGCATGACCAGCAGATAAAATAAAGGCAAAATAAGACTTTTTAAATAGCATGTTTCTCATGCTGCATGTCCTAGCCCCCTGCTCCTGACCCAGAATAAAACATTAGAAGAAAGATACTTTCATGTTTTTCAGGTACTATATGCTCATTTCCATTTTAATAGGTTAAACACAGGATTCTTTTTAAGAAAAAGCAGTATCTAAAACTTCCCCATATCTCTGTAATACATATGAATGAGTACTTTGATCATCTGCCTTCAAAGAATTTCTGACTTATAAAATGAATACAATGAAGCTGGACATGGTGGTGCTGCGTGCCTGTAATCCCAGTGGCTCGGGAGGCTGAGGCAGGAGGATCATGAGTTCAAAGCCAGCTCAGCAAAAGCAAGGCACTTAGCAACTCAGTGAGACCCTGTCTCTAAATAAATACAAAATAGGGCTGGGGATGTGGCTCAGTGGTCAAGTGATTGAACTCAGGGTCACTTGACCACTGAGCCACATCCCCACTATCCTCCCCCCATACCCAAAAAAAAGAATATCTGATTTTCTCTAATTCATTTAGGTCAAGGATTTTGAACTCTATCTGAAGATTTTATTTACCTTTGGAGAATTTAAAAATACAGTTTTACTATGAAATATTTAAATCAATATTTCAATATTGGACTGGGGATATCTTGGTGATAGAATACTTGCCTAGAATAGGTGTTTTTTGTTTGTTTATTTGTGAGGTTTTTGGGGGTTTTTTTTGTTTTGCCTTTTTTTTTTTTTTTGTGCTACTTTGAACCCAGGTTTTTGCACATGCTAGGCAAGTGCTCTGTAATTGAGCTACATCCCTAGTCCAAACATCAGTGATTTTTTTTTTCCCCCAGAAAGATTTATTTTGAAAGGTTCCAAGCCTACAGAGAAGTTCTGAGACTAGAACAATGAGTTAATGGGGGGGGGATTCTTATTTAAGAACAACCCCTTTGGGGGCTCCAGGCAGCCAGTCACCTCGACAGATTCATAGAGGCTCCAGATCTATGCCCAGCCTACGATGAAGTCCCCAGTAGTCCTTGATTTAGCTTCAGAATCCTCCTACCCTTTCTTAAGAACCTATACAGGTACATGGATGTCTCTGAGGCAGGTGGCAGCTACACTTCATTGCTTAACTAGGCAGAGCAAATATTTAATGATGATTTCCTGTCCTAAAACAATATCATCTCATAAAGGGAGAATAAGTTTAAAGGTTATGTAAATTCTGCTGCTATGAGACTCCTTGAGGGTGGGGGGTCCCAGGAGCTTTATGTCTGGCCTCCTGCACCTGCATGAACGCCAGATGAGGACTTTTAGGGCAAACAAATCCAGCCCTTTGTCTTGACTCCATCATCTCCTAATTCATTTTAGTTCTTCCCTCACCCCTGCCTTTGGTACTGGGGATTCAACCCAAAAGGTTTTCCAATTAGCTACGTCCCCAGCCATTTTTATATTTTGAGACAGGGTCTCAGTAAGTTGCTAGGGCTTTGCTAACTTGCTGAGGCTGATCTCCTCCTGCCTCAGTCTCCCAGGTTGCTAGGATTATAGGCCTGCACCACCGCACCTGACCCCTAGTTCATTTTCTTGATCCTCTACCAACCACTCCCAACTACTCTGCACACAGCAACCATGGAAAATTTCTTAAAGAGCAAACTTGACCAAATCCTCCTGCCCCAAATGCTGTATTGCTGTCCACAGCCAATGGGACTCAGCCCACTCTCCTAAGCCTGGTGATCAAGGCCCTTACAGTCTCTCTTTAGTTTTACTTTTGCCCCATCCCACTCTAGACCTGCACTTCTTCCATTCAACTGAACCCTCTGATTCTCTTTCTCATCTGGTAATGCCCTTCTCTATGTCTGTACCCTGGTCCTCTAAGAACCAGCTCAAACATCCCCTCTTCTGGAACCTTCCCTAACTACCCTTTACCAACCTAGGCACAGCCATCATTGACTACCACAAGTGCTGCACTCCCACACTGCTCCTCTGCTCCTCTGTTAGAATCTCTCCCCTGTGCTCTGGTGTGTTTGCTTATCTGCCTTGCTGACTAAGCTGTGAGCTCTCTGGCAGTGAGGACAATGATTCATTTATCTCTATCTCCCTTGTGCCCAGTCCTGAGCCTGACACACAGTAGGCGTATAAATGTTGAGTGACAGATCCAAAAGGAGGCAGATGACAATGGTCCCAAGGATAGAGGTGGTGCCAGTTCTGGGGAAAAGGCTCTGAAGGGGAAGCATTTGCTGCCCCAATGATCCCCTCTTGCTCTGGGGAAGCCATGAGAACTCAAGAGAGCCCTCTGACACACCCAGACCTCACAGTGCATGGCCTGGGTCAGTGTTTGGTATGTTTCTAGCTAAGGAACAAGAGTGTTTTCCTCCAGTCTGAGCCAACCCCCCAACCCTTTCTATGCTCTCCCCATCCTCTGACTTCTCTGGGATGCAGAGAAGTACAGGGTAAAAGTTCTGGACCAGGAGTGAGGCATTCTGGGTTTAATCATTTGTTCAACAAATATTTATTATCTATATCATGTTCTACACACTGTTTTAGTTATTGGAGATTCAGCTATAAATAAGACACATTCTAGAAGGCTGGCAGACAACAATGAACTACCAAAACACATGACATGTTATGTAGAAGTCGAGTGCCATTAAGGTGAAGAGTGACAAAGGAAGGAGTCTGTTCTTTTCGATAGTAATGTGTAAGCAGAGACAAAAAGAGTTCTGCAGAGATCTGGAAGAAGAACCTGCCAAGCAGAGGAACTGCAAGTGCAAAGGCCCTGAGATGGAACAGGTTTGGCTTGCTCAAGAAGGAAATCCTAAGGAGACCATTATGGCTAGAGTGAAATAAACAAGGAAGTGAGTGGCAAGAGGTGAGAAGAAGCCAGACGTGATGGTGCACACCTGTAATCCCAGTGGTTGGGGAGGCTGAGGCAGAAGAAACACAAGTTCAAACCCCACCTTAACAACTTAGCGAAGGCCTAAGCAACATAGCAAGCCCCTGTCTCAAAATAAAAAATAAAAAGGGCTGCAGATGTGGCTCAGTGGTTAAGTGGACTCAATACCTGGTACAAAAAAAAAAAAGTGAGTGGTAGGTCATGCTTAGTTTCCAGCCCCACCACCAACTTCTTGGATGAACTTGCATGCTTTCCACCCCTGATTTTGGCCTATGCATGTTCTCCCATCTGAGAAATAGGCTTGCCAACACATCCCACCACCAGCCTAACTTCCAGGGAAGATGTGAAGGCCTTGGAGAGATGAATGTGAGATGAATTATGTGCAGCCACTATGATACCAAGGAGGGGGCTTATGTGGCAATTCCTGGAAGCAGAACAGAGGCCAAGGCCTATGGAGATGCTAGAATCAACACACAATTAAGACAGATGCCCTGAAAGAGGGCTCCAGCAGAGAGTCTGAGTGATTCTCTATCTCCACCTCTGATCAGAGTAAAGACCAGGCACAGGTGCATTGGCTAGGCCAACATTCCCAGCTTCACCCAGAAGCTTTCATGCCATCTGCTCAGATTTGAACTGGGCCCAGCTCCTCCAGGAGTACTGCCACTCCTTGATGACGGCAAAACTGGATCCATTAGCTGAGTCACAAATCCTGGGGATAGGTGGAAACTGTGTTTGGCGTAAGGTAGATGAGCTAAGCTCAAGCACAAGTCAGGCCTGCCAGATGTCATGATCAACATGGCCAGCTTGCCCCTGAACCACCTTCCCTGGTCTCCAGCCCATTTCCTACTCCATCCTTCCTCCAGCCTGAAGTGTCCTCACCTGCCCATCTCCCTGCTTTGAGCAGTCGAGGTGTGGGAATTCACTTTAAGAAGGCCTGATCTAGGGGCTGGGGATGTGGCTCAAGTGGTAGCGCTCGCTGGCATGCGTGCCGCCCGGGTTCGATCCTCAGCACCACATACAAACAAAGATGTTGTGTCTGCCGAAAACTAAAAAAATAAATATTAAAAAACCTCTCTGAAAAAAAAAAAAAAAAAAAAAAGCCTGATCTAGACCCAGCCAGCTCCACAGCCTGTCCTGTCCTGGATTCCTCAGGTACCCAACTTCAAGACCCAGGTCTGGAACCCACACTACCCATCCTGCTTTATACAGAGTTTCAGGCCCTCTCTCCTTAGGGGCAGCAGGAGGAAAGGGTACTCCTCCAGCCCTTGTAAACAGAAATTTCATCTAATTGTTTGAGCTCTGACTTTAAGGAGGACTTGATAATAGTGACTGAAGTCATCTTTCTGTGGACACACCTCCCCTGCCATACAACAGACATTTATTGAGCATCTGTTGTGGAGTACCAGTCACTATGCCGACTCCAAAGACATATTTTTTCACCCTGGTATTCTATGGATACCTTGCTCAATATGTCCAATAGTCAATTTACTATCTCCTTTCTACCCAGAGCTGCTCTACCTCCCAGTTCTCCCATCTCATCCTAGTTCTCCCATCTCAATAGACAGTGCCATCATCTTCCTGGTGCCCAAGGCAAAGCTGGGCACATTTTGAATTTATTTCCTCTTCTCTACATTTAAGGAATCAGGTCTTACTGATTTTACCTCCTCATTTTCTCTCATATTCATCACCTTCTCTATATTTTTTCTAGTTTGGCCTTGGTGACCTGTCACCTCCATTACTCATATTGTCTCCTTACCTCCAGTCTTACATCTTCCAGTTCATCCTTTAGTCTGCTTCCAAAGTGATCTTTATGAAATGTAAAAAGACTGTGTCATCCCTCTTCTTAATATTGTTTCATTATGATTAATTAATTCAATTAAAATAGTCAATCACTATCAACTCAAAGATGGAAACCAAACTCTTTGGAATGACATACATGTTCCTCCATGAACGAGCCTTTGTTAGCCTAACTTCAACTCTGGACCCTTAATCCTTCACTCCATCAAACATACCACCTGTAGGTAGTCTTTTCTCGTGCTTATTTCTCTG